GATCACGCGAAATCGTCAACAATCAAATCCAGCTAACTTACTTAGCGAGGTACGAAGAACGGACCCCTGGTAACTCAAAACGTTTTTGTTTACAGCTGTATTACTTAAATGAGTACTGTGAGATGAGAATAGAAGATAAAATAAGCTATACTGGACTAATAAAAACGTTTTACTGAAAGAAACTGTGGTTTTTCCCATGTTATTGATTGTTGCTTTTATTGCTTAAATTACTGCAAAAATATTTGCTTATTGATGAGGATTTAATACAGAAAGTACTTATGCTGGGATACAGGCTTCCTTGTATTGTATTTGTGATGTACTTTGATTAAAAGCCCCAAAACAAACAAGTGTTTTTTCAAAATCCCTGTTTCAGAATATCAGATGTACTCAAGGATCAAAGTGGGATTTCTATGTTTCTTTTAGCATAGTGCTTCTGGGTTAATTAGTGCTCGTTTTGTCTGGAAATGTATTTGTACTCTACTATCGTAATTAACTTTACTTGGGTGGCTGTATCTCAGGAGGTAGAGCAGGTCACCTACTGATTGGAAGGTTGGTGGTTTGATCCTTGGCTCCTCCAGTCTGCATGTCAAGTATCCTTGGGCAAGATACTAACCCCAACTTGCTCTCCGATGCATCCATCGGAGTGTGAATGTGTGTGAATGTAGTTAGATAGCACTAAGTATAGATAAAGTGCTTGTGAGAATGGGTGTGATTGGGTGAATGTGGCATATTGTATAGAGCGCTTTGAGTACTATACTTTGAGAGTAGAAAAGCGCTATATAAGAATCAGTCCACTTACCATTTATTTCATATTTTACTATTGAGAAGCACTTTGGTGTACCTCTGGTCTTTAAATGTGCTATACAAATAAAGTATTGATTGATTGATTATTTGATTTGACAGGTTGCAGAATTTTAAAACTGAATTAAATTTTTCTTTCTTCTTTGTACAGTTTGTGATCAGGTAATACGATACTCACTGCTCTTTGTGAATTTTCACAAGATAGTGGGAAAAATGTTTCATCACTCATCCAAATGACTTCTTCATTCTCAGAATTGAAGTGACAAATATTTCTCCCACTGAAAACGTTATGTCCAGATGAACAGAATCAACCTTTTGGGATTTACTTACCTGGATGATTGAGCATAAATCAAAATATATTTCAATTTGTTTAGCAAGACATCAAGACATTTCGTAATTTGAAAAAATAAGTATATAAAAACAAAAACCTATATTGATGTCACATACACACTTTTGCAGCTTTTATAGAATGCAGTCAATGATTGTGTGATGCAAATGAAAGTTTTAGCCATACAAAATGTATTAATAATCTCACAGCACAGCAAATGTCACAGTTCCAGAGCCAAACAACAGCAACTTGACATTCATGCAGGCCTCATATGAGATGAGTAATACTACAGGGATTATGAAACCGTTCATTCACTTAATTTGTAATTAATATGTGCATTATGTTTAGATTTCAAGTATCTGGAAAGTGTGATTGGCAAAGTTTGGTTTGGATAGTCATGGCATTGTGAAGGTTTTAGTCTTTCAGTGGATGAAGCCTGAGAAATGGTTTGCATACATCCAAGGCAAATCCTTACAGGATATGGTCAGTGGGGCAGTTTGCTGGTGTACTTAAAGTCTTACTTAGTTTAATCGCTGAATACTATGCTCCTCTGAGTGTTCGAAGTTAGCCTATGATGCAACATTTCAACATTTGAATACTGATGGGACCTGGGGGGTTTTCTGTCCAAGAGCTGTGTTGCAATGTTAACTCAATCTGCAGTATATCAGTGCAGCCCTGCTATTTTCTTTTACAAGAGGCTGTCACATTAGCTGCTCGGTTTCCACCAGCTGCACCAAGACATACAGATTGAGGACAGTGTGGATGGACCCATTTCCAAAACACATGCCATCATACTGGTGAGAGCTATGCTTCAAAGGCTTCCTGTCTCCAAGCCCAAAATAACTCACTTGCACACTTGGGGGAGGATTGTGGGTGAAACTGTGGGTAGGGAACCAAAATAGCAGTCTGTTGCAAACTAAAATAAATACAGAATAGACAGTTCATCAAATTATGAAGCTGCACGTATGCTTGGTAAATCATGATTCATTTAGCCAAACACTGATTGGACTTCAAGGGCAGTCTGTTCATTCATTCATTCATTCATTCATTCATTCATGCATTCATTTATTCATGCATGTATTTGTTAAGAACTGTAAATATTCAGTAGCTGTAAATTAAAAAGTTTTGTAGTTTATTTGATTTGAACTTTTTATCATATGTATTTTATGATCACAAGTCATACTGAGAATGATCATATTTTAAACATCAGCAGCATCATGCTGGTTTAGCCATGACAAGGGCATGATCTAAGGCTAAGGCAAATGTTATAAACCAAAATAAAATCTCTCAGATTTCCAAAGCAGGAAAATCTTCCTTGACAGACCCAACGGGAAACTGAACAGGTGACAGGGGTCATTAGGTTATGAACTTTGGGCTAACAACCATATGCAACCAAATCTCTGAGCCAGAATAGTATGCAGAGACCATTCATTATAGAGTGCCACTGTTCCTCATAAATCAGGCTGACAGTTCACGCTCTTGGACAAGTCAAGGATGGGACCTTTTACTGCAAAACTGATGACTTATTGTGGGCCTTGTCATATGACCCTATGTTTTTATGAATTCATGCTGTGTTACAGACCAGGCTTTTACACTAATGCAAAAGACTCATATCATGCTTCTTTTTCTGAAAGTCACTAAAAGGTGACCTTCAACACCCCAACATACTGTACATATCATGTAGGAGGCCAGAAAGTAGGCAACTGTTTTGAGTATGCTCTACTGTCTAACAGCATTGTATTCCCACCACACACCAACGCTTTTAAAGCACTCATTTACTGTTCAAGAAACCGTGTGCATTATAGTACCGTATTATATTCTTGTTAAATAGTTTATTTATGTTGTTTGTTGGTGTTGAGGAAGAAGACTAACTAACTAGAATATTGCTGGGCAATAATTGGACATATGTAAATATTTTTGCGCATGCTGTGATGATTTCAGC